TGGCCCCCGTCTCCTTTTGTTTAGATCTACACTACTGCTTGCAACGTTTACTCACACTCAAAATCAGTGGCGTAGCGTGAGCGCAGAACTTAGGCATGCGGTAACATAAAATATACGGCTATGTTGAACAAATGTAATCGTAATTTCAGTTTCTAAAAAATACAAGCGGTAATTAATGATAATCGTGATAGCAAATTTTGATTTTCAAAGTAACAAATCATCTGTACTCTAATTCTAATCAATCAAGGTGTCTATTCTTAGCATCAGAGGCTCCGACAGAGGTTGGAAAAAGAGGGGCCAAGGGAAAAATTATCACCCATGCGAAAGTTTTTGAAAAAAGCTCAATTGTTTAGCAAGACTTTTCAGAATAACTCCTAGTGCTAAAACTGCTTTGCAAAAGATTTTATTCTTATTCATATTCCTCAAGAAAAGGCATCACCTAATGCCCACCTAATGTAAGAATTTTTTATGCTATAATGAAGCTGGGGATTCCCGCAAGAAGGAGCTCTCCACATTGCGAAATTGTTAACACACTGCAGAGCCTAAGCGAACAGGAGCAACAGTTTCTGCTCATTTATTACTCTCATAGTTAACTAAGATGAAAATAGTGAGCTGTGAGAGTTGTTAGAATTGAAGATGCTTCCATGTGTAAAGTTTCAGAAAGTTAGTCCCGGCAAATCATCATGTATTTAGCAAGGCTTGCGCTCAGGTCTACCGCATGCCCTGGTCCGTAAATTTTGATTATACTGGCAAGCCTTTTGACTTGAATTACGGAATGCGGATCATGACAAATAGACTCTGACCCCATTTTGACGAAACCTTTTCTCTTTTCAACAGTCACAAAGTAAAGAAAGGGAAATAATTGGATTTGAAATGATGTATCACGCAAAGAGTATTCGCAAAAAGCAGCTTATAGGTAGAAAAATGTTGTGGATTATCAAATATTTGGGAAGGCTTGCGCTCAGGCCGACCGCAAGCTCCAGTCCGGAAAATTCTCACTTCTCTCAGAAGCTTCTCTCGAGTTGCACTGAAGCTGCACTGGAGCATCACATGTTTCTCTTATTTTGGACAGGCAAAAAGAGTGATGTGGAGGGGCTTCAGTTTTTCAGATTTTTCGAATTTCATAATTTTTAGCGATCTGTTTACTTGGAAAAATAGTCAATTTGGGGCCAATTGGCCTGTTGGCGCTAGAGTTCACTGCATGCTGCTCATGACAAGAAAGAGAAGCCGTTTATTGCGGAAATTGTTATGCATTGAAAGTGTTGCAAGAATTTTAGAATTTGTCTATAAATTTTTACGCTTGCGCCGCAAGCGTAGCATACATAGACGCTACGCCACTGCTCAAAATACTCTTATTAGCCGTGCGAACCTGACGTGGTTGTTTTAGCATAGTTAGCTAGCACAGCAATTACTATTCTATAGTAGGATGAGGGTATCTTTGATGCACACAGCAAACCTTATATCTTTAGCAAGCCCACATCATTAACAAGCCACCAAAGCGTAAATAGTCTTAATATATTTAAAAAGTGTTTAGACATTAAAGATGTCAAAGACAGAAATGGTTTGTCAGCAAAACGTTTCTTTGCTTTCTGTGCTCTAGAAGTAGGAATGGCTTCTTTTTTGTATGCTTATAATTGCCGGCTGTAATATGCATCAGAAGTCATGATCTTGATTTAAAAAAGTTTTAAAAATTTTGTATTCAGGAAAGCGTTTCTGCTCTGAAAGAGAAAAGTGGCGACAATCCACCTTATTTCACTTTTGAGCACTTATAGCAGCAATGACTTGGCAAAGTTTCTGGTCACCTAGACAGCAAATGAGTGCCATTAGAGGTACACGCATGATATGTCACGCGACAGACATGATTTGTCGATATGCGCAGTGCCAATTGTAGACAAGCAAAATCACTCGCCAGGATCACAAAATGGGGAGATCGCGGTTGAATTCTGTGTCGCGATCCACGGTTCTAATGTCTTGCTATTTAAACATATTAAGACTACTCATGCTTTGGTGGCTTTTTAATGATGTGGGCTTACTAAAGTTATAAGGTTTGCAGTGTGCATCAAATATACCCCGATCCTACTAAAGAATAGAAATTGCTGTGCTAGCCATCTATGCTAAAACAACCACGTCAGGTTTGCATGGCCAATAACAGCGCCGACGGAATGAAATTCATATTGGGGGGGGGGGGTTTCTGCCCATTGTTTCCCTTCTCATTTAGTACACTGTTATAAAGGAAACATACTACAGTTTGACAATTATTGGGGGACTCCAGCCCCCCAGCCCCCCGGTTCCGACGGGCCTGAATAAGAGTATTTCACATTTCAAGGCGTTGCTTTCGTTTAATCGTACATTTACATATTCCCGAGCTACCCGAGTTTTCGTTTTTCACACAAAGACAGAAATAAAATCAGATTCTTTTCCCCCCTAAAATGATGTGCAGTCTTTTGTTCGATGTGCAGTTTTGGATTTTGGATTTTATGGAAAATTGATCATGGTATGCAATGTTATAACTTGGTATTCTTATAAAGGAAACAGGGAGTGAATCGTCGAAAACATATACGGTCCTGGTCCTGGTCCTGGTCCTGGTCCTGGTCCTGGTCCTGGTCCTGGGTCCTGGTCCTGGTCCTCGGTCCTGGTCCTGGGTCCTGGTCCTGGGTCCTGGGTCCTGGTCCTCGGTCCTCGGTCCTGGTCCTGGGTCCTGGTCCTGGGTCCTGGGTCCTCGGTCCTGGTCCTCGGTCCTGGTCCTTGGTCCTGGTCCTGGGTCCTGGGTCCTGCCTTAAGGTCCTGGGTCCTTGTTTTCCGGTATGCCCATGCCTGACTGGATGAAAAGTCACTTTTTTGACCCCGATTACAAGCTCACATGTATCGAGAGAACGACAATTTTGAAGAACATGCGATCTTTGGAAAACCTTTATTTGGTTGATTTTTTTGAGCTTAAATCAAAACACAACTTCGATAAGGCGCTGACTGTAGCTACAAAGATTTCAAAGAACTATATGGAAAAGTTTGTAGTTTTACTCCCTGGCAACTGGCCGGCACAGTTTTATATTCGTCATGTAGTTTATTTCTCTTGTCGATTTGGAGAATTCGATAAAAATGAAGATGGTTGTTCTGTTGAACAATGTCATACCAACATTGACGAAGCTCATGATCATAACCAAAGCGATGCAACCAGTTATAGCCAAAATGCCTCAAGACCAAAGGACTCCAAAAAATCTGCTGTTCCATTGATAGGGCCTCTGCACATTGCATTAAACGCGAAAGAAAATATCATGCATATTTTTCATGAATTTTTTCAAATACGTTTATGAGAGTCTTTTTCCTGGTTCAAAGCTGGCAGACAAACCAAAGCCATGGCGTACAGCATTCCCTTTAGAATTAGTCTATGGTGGATGGACTCTCATTCGAGATAAAATTCGTCAAGTTTTCAAGTTTTGCAAAGAGCCTCTTTTTGGAATTTTTCTTAATTTACTTGACAATCATCTTCCTTTGTCACTATAGATGTACAGTGTATCATTCAGACTATGCAACTTCGCTGAATTCTTTGATGATGGCATGATAGCAGTCTGGATAATGTTTTACTGCTTTCGAAGGCATCGTTATGACAAAGCTCCTCTTGTTTGGCTTTTAAATATTCTGTATTGGCAAAAGAACGACCCAGCCTTGTTGGCAGTCTTGAAAGGATACTTGTCAGTAACAGATGAATATCCTGTGGAAAATACACATTCAATCATAAGAGCGCAAACAAAGAAAACAGATACGCCGGGCATGTTAATGAAAGGCCAAGGCATTGTATAAATCAAAACGAGAGCAGCATTCCTTTAGAAGTAACTTCACAACGCCAAAACCATTCAAAGTTTCAGGCGATCAACTGGAAGACCTAAAAGTAAAAGCATCAGTCACCTTAACTAATATTTTTTTACGATTTTCTGAAATTTCCAACAACAAAACGTTTTGTGACACCAACTTAGATAAAATGCTTATGTTCTTCAATCCACCTACCTCTAAAATACATTTTTGCCACTTGGGTACCACTGCAGTCATCCACCAGATCAAAACGTTCGCTGTGACATGCCTGGGTGCTACATAGATGATGATACTGAATGGGAAATGATTGAAAACTGCTGCCATTCTTTTCACAAAGTATGTTTGAAGGACATCACCTTTTGTCCAATTTGTCGCCTTCATGTTGGTTCGGTAATTGACAGTATTGGTCAAAAAGCAAAGGATGCTATATTTCATGGCACACATTTTTTAGATGAAGATAACGTTGACTCAACCGATAATGACAATTTTCCAGAAATCGAGCCAATGCAAAAAGAACGCAAATAAAAGCATAATTGCTTCAATTAAAAAGTTAGATCAAGCCGTTCCAAAGAAACCTTTCCTGGTAAAAGACGAGGTTAGCCAGCAAATGTTTATAAGGGAAAGGAAGAGGCCTCCTCACTGCAAAAGATGTGGACACATAAGAAGAGGCTACACAACAAGAGGAAACAAAGAAAGTTGTCAGCTCTGCCCAGGAGGGAAAGGTGTGGAAGAAGGAAAGGATTTGCAAATGCGAATGGCAGTCACAAAAAAGTGACTGTATGGAGATGGAAATATCATTCAAGCGACTGCAAGCAGCAGGTATAACGGAATGGTCCTTGCCAAAACAGGTTTGTCAGTCGGGTTTGCCTTATAGAGCTGAAACAAACTCTTGCACTGCGATTGCAACATTAGCTTGCAAACATGTATTAAAAGGCCAGTTTTTTCAGCAACACCACTTTACAAACTTAGGCAGCATGGTTAAAGACTAGACTTACTCCATGAGCCTCTGTTTCGCTACTGCCTCACTTGACGGACGCTACAACAGAGACTCATAATCCAAAGTACTCAAAAACTGGCAACTTCAATTTTGTCTCGTTCTCGATTTCTTTTCAAAAATTTCCAAATCCACCCCCCTGATTTGCACATTTGCACAGCTCTTTCATTCACATGTAAATTTGGGAGTTTCTGTTGTAGCGTCCGTCAAGTGAGGCAGTAGCGAAACAGAGGCTCATGGAGTAAGTTTAGTTAAAGACTATAACGTCATCATCAAGGAGGGCAATGCTATCTAAGGCTCAATCCTTCCAATTCACAACCAGCCAAACCTGCCTGTAGAAGAGGTTATCCAACAAAGATTTGCAGCTTTATATGCCAAAAAGCTTTCAAGGAATAACTGATGCCAATGCTCTTGCCAATGAACTGTTTTCGCTTGCAAAGAAATATCCAGTATATGCCTGTGTTTTAAATATTCCTCCTGACAAGTCTGTTGCTTTATGTATGAGTCAAGGGATGCTTTGCTTTCTTGACAGCCATCGACATCACAATTGTGGGGCAGGTATTGCTTTTGCTGACCAAAGTAAAGTTTTTGAGATGTGCCATTACCTAGAGCAGTTCTTCTTGTGACACTACAATAAAGGAATCTACTTTTGCAATTTGACCTTCCTTGCATGCTACACGTAACAACATACTTTCTAAATTCACATTTTCAATATACACAGTTTTGGAGAAAGTGGCATTGTTTTTGCCCCGTGTTTTAGGCCTTTTTCCCCATACAGGAAGCATAGTCCTGTAACGTAAGTATCTGTTTGTGTATCATGAAAATCCTTAGGTAAAATATTTTCACAGAGGCAAACTATTTACCAAGTGATTGGACATGAAATGCCTTTTCTAAAAATTGTGACAGATAATTGTGGCACAACCCCAGTTTTGGAGAAAGTGGCATTGTTTTCGTCGCTTGTTTTAGACTATTTTTCCCATACAGAAAAGCATTGTCCTGTAACGTTAGTATCTGTTTGTGTACCATGAAAATCCTAAGGTACCACATTTAAACAGTAAAGCAACAGCAGACATATATGCACTGCAAGCGAAGCGAGCAGAAAATATTTTTCGGCCACGTCCTTTAAATTAGCTTGAAACACGATTCAGAATGCTTTTTACAGTCGTTTATCTCGTATTAAAAATTTTTAGGCCCACTTTGTTGCATTTCGTTAAAATTCAGTTCTTGATCTGGAATTCCTTGCTTTAAGAGGACCCCTAGACCTCGGGCCCTGGGACAGTTTGCCCCCCCCCTTGTCCCCCTCTCGAAAGCACTGTTCATATTCCATGCATCTCTTTCACAGTTGCCTGTTTGCAAATGTTGACCTCCTCTAATTCTGAACTGTGAACTTGAGTCTACATGTAAGTGCGGCGTTTTCTCACCAAAGATTTTGTTCGTATTAGATATTTTCCTGGGTTTTACAAACTCACTCGAAAGGGGGCCACCGAGAAATTTCCCCGTGTCCCGCCTAGCCACAACGCCCCTGGTAAGCAATACTGAAATTTTTTCTTTTTAAGGATCTTATCTTCATTTCTGTGACTTGTATTCTTCTGAACATAGAGATTTTTGAAATTAACTCTGAAATTAAAATTGAGTTATTTTCTCGAATTTATCTACGGAGGGCCCAGTTATTATGAATTTGAGAAGGCCCGGGTTGCGATGGCAACTTAGCATCCCTGCCAGTCCGCCACTGGAATAAGAAAGCCTCCCTTACAAATCAGACCCCTATTAGAAAAATCTTATTTATTCTCATTCATACGTACACCCTCCTAGATGTTGTTATTCAATGATAATCACTGCAATTAACAAGGGGAAAAGTTGCCAAGCATGGGGAAAAACATGATGTCATAAAAAAGTCAATTTATCAAAGAGAAACAAAGAAGGCAAACAAAAAATGAAATCATTAGATCGCAGCTTATTTGTTTTCAACTTTCCTCACTAGAAATAATGACTAACTATGAATAAAGGAGAATAGATGTTAATAGGAGAGTAGGAGCGTGAACAAGAAAAGCTTTTTTTAGAACAGCTTTCCAAACACATGTCCCTAATTTACACTCGCGTAACCTGATATATGCATCGTTACTCGGAAATAGTTCTGTTGTAGTAAAATTTGTCGGTTTTGAAAGCAAAATAATTTTTTTTAGAATTATTTACATAATTCGACTTCAAGCTTGGCGAAATGCATCTGCCGACTCGACTGGACATCTCTGCGTAATTATGATGCGAAGTGGCAACTTGCCAAATTCACTTCATCGCGGTTAATCTCCTATCTCTACCTCCAATCCAGTCTTGCATTTGACATGCATCTGCATGAAATAGTTGGTACCAGTCTCGGCAAGCTCCATTGCTTATGCATGATTGTGGTCTTTCAGGGCCTGACTGATGGAGGCGGCATAAACATCGTCAACATTGGTTTTTTCCGTGACATGATAGGCTTGCACTGGTCAATTTCCAGGCCAGATGCCAGAATAAGCTGCATTATTCTGGAGCGAACTGTTGGAATGCTGCTCTCCGGTACGTCTATCACCAGCCAGAAGCTTATTCCTGGTCGCACTTTCGGAGCCTCGTGGGTCTTGCTTCTATCTGGGCTTTTGTTGCTACTACCAGCTTCTAATTGTCTCCTGCAATGTAAAATATTGGTAAAAACATAGTACTTCTAACGTCCAATAATTGAAAAAAGCGATATGATTACAACCGATCGAAAGTTCAGATTGCATATGAATATATACAATTATGTAACCAATAAGCTACCTACATTAAATCCTCCTCTACACCCCCTGCTTCCTCGTCCTGACTTATTTCTTCCTCTGTTTCATCTATCTCTCTCTTGCTCTTTTCTTTCTTCGGTCTTTTTCAAAGCCAAAGGATGAGTACATCGGAGATTTTTCCAAGGAGCATTTCCAACTGTCTCCGTTTAACTTGAATCATCTTTCAGCGAGCCATTCGTCATTTTTCTGAGCATCGCACAGTGCCCTCAAGGATATCACAGATAAAAGCTTCGTGACTACTGAAACAACAAATGCCCTCAGTGCATTGCAGAGCGTTCTAGATGTCAGGCGCCGCGAGGGCCTAAAGCCTGGCATTGCGTAAATTATGTATCCTCTGAATATATATATTCATATGTTCTTAGCGTTTCATTATTTGACAAACTGTAGTGAAGTTAGTCTAAGTCAATTTTATGAATATGCTTCATAGAAATCTAGATTTATTAAGTGGCGTGTAGGCAAAAATCTAATGCAAGTTATATTTCAATCTCACACTAAATCCACTTCAGATGGAAACTGTCTATAAAGCTCAACCTTCATATGCATCAATGGGAAAATATTTCTCATTCTTTTCAATGTGTTGCTAGACAGTATTATTGTTCCACTCTTTTATGTCTCTTTCAGAAAGTTCCGTTCCTGAAGCGATTATCTTGTTCCTGTATTTTTGAAATTTGGAGAGCCCTAGAAATCAAACATCTTGTTCCATCTTTCCGTTTGTGTGCAATATCTTGCTAGAGACAGTATCCTACTGTTATTTTTAAGTTCTTTTGAAGTTATCACTTTCCTGTATTTCATTTATAACGTTGGTTTACAGATGTTTTTCATTTCTTATGCCCAGCACTTGAACCCTCTATGTCTGACTTTGTTTAAAGGCAGCTCTTTGATAATTTTTCTATATTGCTGGCCTCTTACTTTCATAATTTTGATGTCATTGTACTTTTAAGAAATTCTTGCTTCTGTTCTAGTTACTGATCACTAATTATTGATGTCGTGTAAAGGAATGTTAATAGTACCTTTGATGTCTGTTTGAAAAACCTAACACTGAAAGGCAACTACAATGCCTGTAATTCTCAAGAGGACAATAAAGAAACGTAATGAAAAATTCATAATGAAAAAATGATGTTGAATAAACGCACAAATACGAAAGATGGCATTTTCTCGCATTTTAGCTGTAAATTTAAGCAATTTTAGCTTGTGCCCGCTGCACCTGCTGGGCGCCTTTCAGGACCCCAGACCCTAAGCTGGATTGACGGTCAAATTTCCTTCTGGATCCGCCCCTGCCAACGAGTTGTATAGAATACGGTAGAGGGATAGCTCTGTAGGGAGGCAGTGAAGCCTGCCGATTTCCAAATTGTACGGCAAAAAGTTACTCTCAGTGTATGGCGGTCTGTTGCATCGCGCTATTAGGATGGTTATATCAACCGTTGCTTTTGGAGATAAGAATTGACAGAGTCATCAGAAAATGCAGTCTTTTAATGGGGTTGGAAGTAAGACGGATGGCTCCTGTATTTCTACGGATATAAGTGATGATGGATAATTTTCATTTCACAGGTTTGTTTACAATTAGGCCTATACTAGGTTCGTTAATATTGTCGCTTTTCTGTAAAATTGACACAGCGCGCCCAGGGCCCCAAGTGACTTACTGGTGGCTATAATAAAAAACGACAGAAGCTCTCCTTGGAGTGTTTTTTGGCTAATTTTTGCAAAACCGGATATCTTTTAAATGGACATTTCTATTATTTGGAAATACCTCATCAATTTCTTTGAGGCTATAAAGCTCAAATTCAGCTAGATATCGATATAAATCTTTGTTATTTTTTCGAATCTTCTACAAATTTTAATGCAGCGATAATTAAGTTCTTTACAAAAAATAAGAAACCAAAATAAGAAAAAGTACAGAAATAATTAAAACACTGTTTAACAGTTTTATAAGAAAATCCAGAACGGACTGATATCTGCTTAATCTTTATAATCCGGCTACACTTCTCCGAGTTACGCAGGTTTGAGAACGTGACTTAGCCCCAGGTACACGTGGGAGGAAACAACGGACAAAACCTGTCTTCGGTTCCTTTTCCCGCAGATTATTAAATTGTTTTGTGAAGGAATTGCATAAATTGTTCAACACAATCACTCTTTGATAGATCAAATCTCCCTAACGCACCTTGGACTTTCTGATCGGTTTTTTGCAGGTATTAGGAACTCCAATAAAAAACAAGAGGAATATCTAACCACTGAACAGTTTTTTAGCCAAAAGCTAAAAATGTAGAAAACATCTAATAAGGAGATTGCAACGTGGAAACGTACAATAAAAAATGTCACACCATGATCTTAGATCAAAGAAGTAATCAATTGTTAGAAAACATAAACCAAACCTGTTTGAAAACAAAATAAAAATTTATAAATCAATGATTTCCTTCTGACAGTAGTTGGTATTTAGATAGTTGGAAAGTCTGTAGAACCATCAAACAGCACCCTGTTCCTCGGCATGTTCACTGTCAACGGCTACCTTGTTGGAGAATGCTCGCACCGAAGATTGGGTGCTGTTGTTTGAATGAGGCACTTCACCATAAGCACTTGGATTCGTAACTGCCTTCAAAGGATAGTCAGATGAATTTTTCGCTCTTGCTGTGTCATCAAGCTGGATCCCTGTACCGACATGGTTCTTCCGTTGATTTTTCTTCCATACGATAAATACGATAATTCCAATAATGATAATTAAAAGCAAGCCTGCTACTGATAAGCCTACAATCAGACCAATGTTGTTACCCTCTTTTTCACATATGTTGCCTGAGTAGCCACTGGCACACCTACAAACCCTGTAGTTTGGTCCACGCTCACATTTGCCGCTGTTTAAGCAGAATGAGGGACTGCAGTCGACCTCGCAGGTTGATACTGAAGACGGCTTGTAGTAACCTTGAATACAGGCACAGTATCCGTGGGTGGCATTGCTTTTGCACTCCTGCTTCGCGCCACAATTGCCAACCAGTCTACAGTGGTCTGTTGAGGCAAATTGAGACAAAAAATTAACGTGCAAAAGAGATATACTTCTGTGATAAAAACCCCAGAAACCCAGAAGGAACCAATACACCTTCTGTGATAAAAAACCAAGCTTAAGAAAAACAGTGATTATAACAGATTTTCTCTTAATAGAATACACTTTCCGATCATAGAGAGTCGAAAGCTTTACATTATTTACAGGTATAGCTAAAAGCTTAAGAGAGATACAAATAGCTGGCTGGCAAATCAGGCTTAATTATTAAATTGAAATAAAACTTGATACTGGGGGTTAAAGGAAAGGACCTTACCAACGATTGTGTATGAAGAATCAACTGACAGAGATCCAACAGAACCGGATGCGATGGCATTTCTGAGCTTGCCCAGAGGGTCGGACACTAATGTAGAGAAGACCAAATCAGCAAAGGCTATGACACTTCCATTCCTGTTGACAACAAGGGACATTAAATAACGCTGCAACCATTTTTAAGTTATACTTGAAGCGACGTTTTATCAACGTTTGTATATTTAAGTCATTCACGTGATATATCAACGATGAAAATTGAAACGATCGGTATCCTTTGATTCAATAAACTTCGATACCTATGCACAAAATTGCTGTCTCTTCTTTATGCTAAATGATACAAATGTTTCGTATAAATCAGCAGCTAATTGGAAATTAACAACCCTACCATTTCATCAATTTTCAGCTGTAATTCAACGCAATACTTAAGAAGCTTCAAGTTCCTTTGAAGTAAAAGGCTAGCAGTCGTGCCAATCACGTTGCTGCTTGTCCAGCATTCACGACACAACAACGAAGGTAAAAGAACGCTTTATAACAATTCAGACAAAAGATAATATTGATAATTCATTTAAATCTTCAAATTTACGAAGCAATATAGAAGTCGTATCGTAGTCGTATCGTAGTCATGTTGTAGTCGTATTGTAGACGTACTGTAGTCGTATTGCGGTAATATTATGGTCGTATTGTGGTTATATTGCGTGTAAGGGATTAACAGCAGCAGAACATACCTGAACTGGTTGATTTTGACAGACAAAAAGCCTTCTTCGGCGGCATATATTTTCTCTACCTAGAATTAAGATATCATAGGCTTATGAAGTCAATATATGATGTCGGACTTACAAATGAGATGTCTTGTATTGTCGATGATATAAGCCAAACTGTATCGCTGGCAGAATATAGTTCACAGGACATTATCTTTAGGGAGATCTTTCCATCTGTGATGCACTGAACATGCTGAATGCACAGAACTGATTATGACCGTATTTAAGTTTAATTGAAAGTGTATTAAGTTCTTGCATTTGTGAAAAACTCCTCTGCTTTTAGAAGGGTTTCACAGGTCTAGCCAGATAGGAGAGATCAGTTGTTTCGTGTGTAATTACAGCCATTGCATTAAACCAGCAAGACTCAGGTTTTTAATAATATAACAAGCTCTGTAAGGTTAAAGCAATTAATTTGTATACTCACTTCTTTGGAAATCTTTGATATCAAAATTCTGAATTCTGAACTGTTGACATCCGACAGCTTGGAATTCCAAACTTCTACTGTGAACCGGATTCCTACACTTTCCTTCTTTGTGCTTTGCAGAGCTGTACCAATTCAAATCAAACCAGTAATTATCATTCTTGTCATTATAACTATAATAATTAATCACATCAAGATAAATTTTGACTTGGCCAGAAACGTCCAGTTGTATTGTATCGTTTTGCTATCACTTTGTTCTTGTAGCAAACTTTGAAGACGAGAATCAATTCAATTCAATATAAATTCAATTCAATTAAGAATAACGATATAGCAGCTTAATGTTGTATGCAGTGTCTTTTATAAAATGTAAGTGTAACTTTTGAGTGGAATATATATGTAGAAAAGTAGATAAAACATTTACTGAAACTATTTGTTTCATAACATACTTACAGATGCAGTTGCTGGATGAAACACTTCCTGGCATTTTAGTTGTTCTTCCACTTGTACAGGCAATACAATGTGGCAAAAGCAAATCCTCCCTAAAAAAGCCAGTTTGGCAAGCCATACATTTCATGCCATCTTTCGATACTTCTTTTCCACGTGGACAAACAGCTACAACGTATAAACAGAAAAGATTTGTGATAGCTTGCTTAAGGCTTGCTAGGATAGCAGAAATAAAAAATTCATGGAATGCATTAAATATCATAATGATTATGATGAAGAAATTATATAACATCAATACCTTTGCAAGATGAAGAACTTTTAGCTCCTAGAATGTATGTTGTTTTTGCAACTTCTCCAGTCACCAGGCAAGGAACACAGCTCGTTTGATTCGCAGCGTCCCTGTAGCTTCCACGAGGACACAACTGGCATGCATCACCAGTTATCAACTCAGAGCCTAGGCCACATTTCACTGTACGATAAGATGCACTGATTAGCTAATTATAATTAATAGCCTAACCTGAAAAAATAGGAATGGACCATCTCGGAGTTCGCGACGCCATGATTGAAGTTTCAATCCCTCAGGTAGGGCAAAACAGCTAAAAATTCATGGTAGATAGAGGCCGCTTATTTGCCCTGTGACTTCTAAAAGGGCCTCTCCAGCCAAATTTTGCACTTGCATTTTATTGGCTAATCTAAGGGAGTTGAACCACCTGATCACAAATTCGTTATTTGTTTTTCGATATTTTTTACAGTTTGTGAGATATAAGCTCTTGCATTTCGATAATTGAATTGAACTAACTGACAAAATTTTTTCGGTTTGGTGACACTTTGACGCAATTTTGACGTCACATTGTATTTCGTTAGTCTCGCCTCAAACCGAATCGAACGACGGCGATTCGCAATTGAACACTGCAAGTGAAGGTACTCTCAGTTCTGTTTTACCGGCATTTAGTTTGAGCATTTCAGATATCAATTCTGAAGCCTTTAGTTTTTCATCGTTTCTGGAGAAGAACTGAAGTGTCAATTTCGATTAATTATACGCGAGGGAAGAGCTTGAACAGGAAGCCGTAGCATTGTGGGCCTAAACATGTGATCGAAACAAAGTCGTGACACAGCATGGACACATTCCGACTCGCAAACTTAGAATGATTGTAAACATTAAATATTTTTCGATCCTAAGAAGCTTCTGCTGTAGATTTAGATGCCGTTATCAACGCGTGACCATGACTTCTTCACGATTCGCTGGAAGATATACGAAATTCATGGCGAACGAGAGCCGCACATTGTGACGTCAGAATGTCACAAAACTGATTCGGCTTTTGTTGTTTATTCTCGGAAAGGTGCAACTTTAAAGCCTTATAACTTCTAAACTAATTGATATTTGCAAAAACAACGACTTTGCCATAATACACGGACCAGATTTTTTTTTGGCTGGAGAGGCTCTTTAAAGGCCTTGGTTCAAAACTTTATGAACCAGGCCAGAATAAAAGTGATTCGGTAGTGTTAAGATGTGAAGGAGATAGAACAACGCATGGGTTGAACAGAAACAAAACGATAACTTTATATTAACTTCAAACGGCCTACACACATAACTGTAATACTGTCAACTGTAATCTGAAACTATATAAACATGGGTCACATAAAGTAATGCTCCTGCGCATAGTCAATTAGGTTACTACATCACTCCTCCTTTTAAAGAAGTTTTTTTTTCGTATACTGTTTACAAAGTGTCCAATGGTATTGGTTCACCATATCGTACTGGTGCATAACGTTTTCTAACTAGTCTTTCAGCAGGTCTAGGAACCTCTTGTTCACAAGCGTATGTGGCTCGATTTGATTGATTGGCATCTTCGGAATCCGACATCTGAGCGCGTAATTTTTAAAAAATGATACGTTGCGAGTTACACGACGATGATTACTGTCTTCTGCAGTTATCTGCGTACCTTTACGGTTTACGACTTTGTATTGCGTTTTGCTGAATCGTGTCGTTAGTTTGTCCCTTTTTTGTTGGCGGACAAGAACAGTATCTCCAACTTGAAGGTTGCTCTTCCTTGCTTTTCTGCGTTTGTTTGCATATGTTTCTTGGTATGATCGACTGCGTTCCTCGTTTATTCTAGCTTCTTTGTGTCGATTTATTACGCGATGCTTCTCTAAAGTAGGGAATTTTCCTTGTACTTTCCTGTTGAATAACAACTCTGATGGCGCAATTTTCGTTGTGCTGTGAGGTGTATTACGATACTGGAACAAGAAACGGTTCAGTTCTTGTTGCCATACCTTACCCTCTGCCACTGCGCTTTGTACGGCTTTGATGAGAGGCTGATTAAAGCGTTCGACTTCTCCATTTGCCTGCGGCCAGTAAGGTGTGACAGGTTTATGGTTTATACCGAGGATATTTACATATCGTGCAAACTCTTCACTCGAGAATGGTGGACCGTTATCTGTCTTTAATTCACGTGGTATGCCGTGTACCGAAAATATTTTGTCCAGCTTCGGAATGACAGTTGATGCTTTCGTGGATCGCACAATTTCGGTTTCCGGAAATCGCGAATAACGATCAATGACGACTAAAAGATGATCTCCTGAAGGAAGCGGTCCACAGAAATCGATATGAACAGTTTCCCATGGTCCTTTAGGAAAATCAGTTTGTTGCAGAGGTTCTGGTGGCGATGGTTTGCCGACAATTTGACAAGTCAGGCACGAATCTAGGGTATGCTGAACTAGGTTGTCCATACCTGGGAACCATACTTTTTCTCGTAATAGACTTTTTGTTTTGGAAAGACCTTGGTGAGCTTCATGGGCAATATCTATAGCTCGTTGCTGAAGTGACTCTGGTATAACTAAACGTGTTCCTCTCAAAACAATTCCCTTCGCACCAACAGTGAGCTCATCGTTGATTGCACAATAAGGCTTTAAACGATCAGATGCTTGCCATCTATTTGTTCGTATAGCGGCTCGCAATGCTTGCAATGTCTTGTCAGTGTTGGTAGCACTCGCTATTTCGTCTAGCGACATAGCTTTAGGCACAGAGTGACTCGTAATCATGTTTACGTACTCCTCCGCAATTCTTTCTTGTTTTCGCGATTGTTGACTGGAGGGGTGTCTGGATAGATAATCAGCAGAGTTCTCGCTTCCTGCCTTGTACTGCACTTTAAACGAATAAGGTTGTACTCGCAAAACCCATCGCTCAATCCTCGCGGACGGCTTAGAGGTTGAACTGCCGTAAATGGTTTCCAAAGGTTTGTGATCTGTAATCAAAGTAAATTCGTTGCCATATAGGAACAAATGAAAATGTTCTACGGCCCAAACGATGGCTAGAGCCTCTTTTTCCGTTTGCGAGTATCGTTTCTCAGTATCGGACAGTCCACGACTGGCGTAAGCAACAACCTTGTAATCATCACTGTTCTTGGTTGCTTGACTCAAAATTGCGGACACACCTACGGGACTTGCGTCCACCGTAACGAAAGTTTCTTTATTGGTATCGAAATACGACATAACGGGAGCTTCAGACAGAGCCAATTTTATGTTTTCAAATGCTTTCTGTTGAACTGCTTGCCATACGAATGGTGTATTCTTTTTTGTCAACTCTCGAAGTGGTGCAGTGAGCGTCGCAAAATCTTGGATGTACTTAGCACTATAGTTTGCCATTCCGAGCAGGCTTCGTACCTCTTTGATGCTGGTAGGTATTGGTGCATTCTGAAGATCGCTTATGCGTGCTGGATCTGGCTGCGTACCATGTTCTGTGAAAATTTGCCCATAAAACTGAATTGATTTCTGTAGAAAGTTACATTTCTTGAGATTTAGCGTAAGGCATTTTGAATGCAGACGTTGCAAACAATTTTGCAAAGCTAAATCGTGTTCCTTGCGAGTTTTGCCAAAAACTACGATGTCATCTGCGATGTTCAGCACTCCATTTATACCTTGTAAAGTTTCTTGTAAAACATGCTGGAAAATTTCCATAGCAGCATTTGTCCCATAATTGAGACAAGTGTATCGATAAAGTCCTACGTGTGTGCTGAAGGTAGTGATAAAACGACTGTCTATGTGTAATGGTAGCTGGTGGTAAGCTTGGTTTAGATCCAATTTACTGAAATATTTGGCACCATTGAGTTGAATGCTGATATCATTCAATGTAGGGATCGGATAACGTACACGTTTTATTGCAGTATTTGGCACACGCATAT